CAGTGAGTTCAGTCCAGCTGAAGATCTGCCCTTCCTTTGCCAGCTTGACAATTTCCAAACAAAATGCCCAGTTCTAGTACATACCTCCATGTCGAACCTAAATTGCTATAATGGACACGCACTCCTAAACTGGAATCAGGCATAGTTGCTTACCACAACCTATACAATTACATTTCACAGTCACATAAAACCATCTTATCAGGATCCCCTCTTACAAACTTATTTTTGTTTCAAAGGTTAGAGACAATCCCAATGCAGCCCAATGGCATTTTCCCCTTAATTTCCTTTTCTCCTTTCTTGGCACAAGTACTTATTTTCCACTCACTTCCTCTTCTTGCCCCCCACAATCCCCACCCCAAAACATGAATTACAACACATATTCTATCTAAACGGATTAAAACAAGCCCAAAGGCTATGGAGTTTACCAAGTTACATTTCCAAAAATTAAAATGAAGCACAGCAGCCTTCATACATCTTTTTTTCAACCTTTTTATTGCCTGTAATTCCTGGAAAGGCTTTCTGGGAGTATTATTTAGCTCTTGGGACTCACCTGCTACCCCCCACCACCCCGCCAGGCTTTTCTTTGTCTCAGCTAAATTTGGCATTCACCAACTCTTCATAAATTCTCGCTTCTGGTACCACATAGTTACAGTATTGCTATAATTATGAATAAACCAGCATTTTATGATCATTTCCTGTTCTCAACAGTTTAACTGTTTTCCAAATTCCCTAACTTCATCAAAGGCCTCCCTTTCTTTTTACCACCCCCTCCCCCCTAAAAAAAAAAAAAGAAACCGGGGTGTGTGTGTGTGTGTGTGTGTGTGTGTGTGTGTGTGTGTGTGTGTGTGTGTGTTTAATGTTTTTGAGGAGGACCTTTCCTTCTTCTCTTTCCCATCTTCAAATTTAGATTAGTCTCTGGCAGTTAGCTTAGATTTTAGTGATGGTGATATGGTATTACCACCTTCAGCCAGCCTCTTATGGTTAGATCTGGTCTTCTTATACAAATGTGATGGTAATCATAGGATCAGAGCCAGAAAGGACCTTAGAGGTCATCTAATCCAAATTAATTTTACAGATGAGGAAATGGAGGCCTAGAGAAGTTAAGCACTTAGCCAAGAGGAACAACACTAGTTTTCAAACCCAGTTCTTCATTGGCTGATAGCTGAGTCATTGGTAGTGTGGCAAACGTGTTCTCAGTCTCCCAGAGAGGGGTCTATTATATTTGAACCTCAGAGTTTCAGGCTACCTAGAGAGATTTGGGGGTGTTTCTTCTCTGCTGCCACTGGCTTGAGTACCATCTATCTTTGTTCCTCTGATCCTGACCCCCCTGACTAGACCCCATTTCCATTTAGTTATTTAACATCAATTAGCTTTTACAAAAGGATATTTACTTCAAAGATATAGCAAGAACAAACTACGGACATTTCTTCCAATACTCCTGAGATATAATTGCCCTAAGTGGGGAGGGGAGAGGAGTAGGCCTAAACACCTCCCAGTGCTGGTTCTCACCAAGTCCATATCTAAAGGCTGCATCACTTCAGGATGAATCTTTTCCTCAGTTACCTCTGGGCTAGAGCTGAAGGTCACTTCCTTAGGTCACTTCTTGCTCATCAGGGTATTAGTCCTTCTCTGGCTACAAACCTGGACTCTAGAACGCTGCATTACTGGGGCCTCCTCCTGGCTTTTCAGCATTCACAAGACTGGAGGTTCTACTCCCTTTATCTAGAATAAGAAAAGGCTAACACAGAGACCAAAAACCAAAAAAGATTTCCTAGGGCCACATGGCCTTGACAGGGAGAAGGCTTTAAGGCGTCTTCCTGCCAGCATTCTCTCTCCAGTTCTGACTTGTAGTCAAATGAAAAAAGGATCTTCCTAACTATGCTGTCACCAGACCAGGACCAAGTATAAAATGCCCGCATATCCTCCATGGTCTTTCCTAGCTATTTCCATTCCAGGCTACCAGGGCTCTCCTAGAAGTAGCCTCCCCGGAGTTTCTACATAGAGAGACAGCATCAGAGCCATTCATTCTGCTTATATACCAGACCTTGCAACAAGAGGAATCACAAAATCTGTATAAAGAGGGAACATTTTATATAAACTATATTTAGAGATAAAAGAAGTACAGTCAGTTCTGCTATAATACTAAATCACCTAGCTATGCAAAACTCACACAATGAAAACCACTGGGCTTATGGGGAAAAGGGAGTTAGGGGTACAGCACTCAAAAACTTCATCAGCAGTAAATGAAAAAGAAAAAAGATAATAGGAACATAATAAAAATAGTAGTGTGGTTTTATGCATGTTAAATGGTTAAGAGATACATATATACTGCAATAAATAGTGGTAGTATCCTCAGGACTCTGGTTGCTGCTTAGCCTGCACCTTGATTCCCATGGCAGGGTAAAGTGATTGTGGCAGAAGGGTAAAGTGTGTGAGTGTAAATAGGCCCTCTTCCACTCAAAGCTCCTACTGCACCAGAAGATACATAATAAATATAACATTGTACCTGGACAAAGACATGAAGTTGAAAGTGTGTGTTTAAACTCAGTTCTGCCAAAAGCCACCATGGCCTCAACTCAAGGAACCCCTACGATAGTCATTGCCTTGTGAAGGGAATATGTGGCATCCCCCTATGTTTGGGAAAGAGAGGCTAGTGGTTAAGTCTCCTTCATAAGGGATCCCAGAGGATTTCCCCTGCAATGGGCCCATTTCCAGGAAGCAGTGCTGGGACCATCGGGAGCCATACTTCTCCCTGGGCAGGTATACCAATTATAAAATTGCTATATGTGCTCCATGGTCTCTCCAAGCTAAGTGACAAAGATCAACAGGCCTAGTTATCATTACAGTTTTGAGGTGGAGAGGGTTCCATTGAGATCTCCCTGTCTTCCCTTCCCTTCCCTGCCAGTCTCTGCAAGCCCCCATCCCTTGATTCACCACACACACCCCATGTTATGTGCTACCACCTCCCTTCATAGCTTTCACAATCTCCTAGGTTGAGGAAGATGACTACCATTGGCTTTCCTCCAATCAGAGCCAGACATCTCTTCTTCTTGCATGTTGGGGTCACCCCCTTGATGCACACCCTGTCACTGTGGTATAATTTTCCTCTGTGATGAAACTGCACATAAACAAATGCAAACTTTCCATTAAGCTCCAACTGTTTCTTAATATGTCAGTCTCATTGGAAGAGATTCACATTTCCAAAACAAGCATTACAGCAGAGCTGACTGTACAGGTAGAAAGGCTGTTTTTCAGTTGTCTTGACTTTTGTCTTGTCACTGGCAAGACAGAGTCGCTGACTCTGGAAGAGAGAGCAAGGCTGACAACTTTGCGCAACTTTGCCTCACTTAAATCCAGTTCATGCCTAAGTCAGGACATCACCCCATGGCGTCACTGGGCCTCTTTGAAAACAAAAGATCAACATGAACGATTCAACACACCACTGGTCTTCAGCCCACACCCCTTCTTTTGCATGAAGGATCACAGTTTAAAAGGAACTAAGTTCATCACATTTCTCAAGCTTTTTTCTTCAGACTTTGACAAGTTGAAAGAAACACCAATGAATTTTTCTTTAAAAGCTCCTTTAAGGACGCTCAAGTTTACTGCCAACTGTGGCATTCATTCAGGCATTTCATTGCATTTAATATTTTTGACACTTACTATGGACAAGGCACTAGATTAGATGCCTGATGAAATGATATCCCTTCTTCAAGGACCGGATCAGATACGAGCACTTCCATGAATCCTTCTCTGATTTCCCCCACCCAAACTGTTAGTGATCTTACTTTCAACTGAACTCATAGTGCCTTGTTGTGCTTTTCTTAGACACTAATGCTGTACGTATCATACATAAATGTCTTATCTCTCAATTATGTGTATGTCAATTATAATGTCAATATAATTATATCAATTATAAACTCCTGAAAAAGGTGACTTGTTTTCTTCATCTGTGTATCTCCCATCATGTCTGACAAGGCACTGCTCAGAGAGGGCACCTCCTAAGCTGATTATTTAAGGAATGAAAACAAGAGCTATGAAAAAACCATGCATTAAAAGACCATTGTGTAAACTTACATGGTATAGTGGGAAAAAAAAGACCCCGGACTTGAAGTCAGGAAGGCCTGAGTTCCAATCAGATACTTACTGTTTAACATTGGGCAAGCTACTTAACCTCTCTTCAGTCTCAGTTTTCTTATCTGTAAAATGGGTAAAATAATAGCAACTTGTTTCATAGGGTTGTTATGAGGAAAAATTTAAACGATGCATGTAATGCCCAAAGAGCTATAAGTGCATACCCTTTGACCCAGAAATATGACTACTAACTAGATCTGTATCCCACAGAGATCAAAGAAAAAGGGAAAGGACCTGTATGTACAAAAATACTTATAGCAGTTTTTTTTGTGGTGGCAAAGAATTGGAAACTAAGGGGAAGCTCATCAATTGGCTGAATGAGTTGTGGCATATGATTGTGATGGAGTATTATTGTGCTATAAGAAATGACAAGACAGGTGATTTCAGAAAAGCATGGCAAGACATATGAACTGATGCAAAGTAAAGTGAGAAGAACTGGGAGACCCCTGTGCACAGTAACAGCAAAATTGTACTAATGATAAACTGTGAAAGACTTGGAAACTCTGATCAATACAATGATCCAACACAATTCCAGAGAACCCATGATGAAAAAATGCTATCCTCCTCCACAGACAGAACTATGAACTTGGAATGTAAATTAAAGCATAATTTTCTCACTTTCTTTATTTTCTTGCTTTTTTTTGAAATATGGCTAATATGGAAATGTCTTGCATAATCTTACACATACAATTGATATCATATTGTTTGCCTTTTCAATAAGTAGGGGAAGGCGTGGAAGGGAGGGAGAGAATTTGGAACTCAAAATTTAAAAAAAAAGCCATAAATAAATAAATAAATAAATAAATAAATAAATAAATAAATAAATAAATAAATAAATAAATAAATAAATAAATGTGTTTTTAAAATTTTAAATGCATGTAAAGTGCTTTGGAATACAATGTTGCGTTAATATAGTCATAATCATCATCATTATTCTTAAGATGTAATCTGACACTCAGATCAGACACTGACCAGTGGAGCTTCTCTCTAGATCCAAGTTGGCACAATATTTCATGAGGAAAACTCCCCTTTGAGCCTGATCACCTGTAAAATAACCAAGAATGAGAGACAGACAAAGGTGGGGATTCATGGCTTTAGCTGTTTTCTCTTTTGGCATTCGTAGTTTCATTTGTGGTGCAGAAATATCTACCTTCATGATTTCAAAATAGACACATTGGCAGCCAGGCAGGCAGATAGCTGAGCCCCAAGGCCAGATTGTCTTCATTCCATCCCTTTGAGACCTTTCTCCTTTGGTGGCCACTTCTTTTCATTTTAATTCATTTCTTATTTCAGTATTCTCAGGAAGACCCTGGAGGTAGTCTAAGAAATTTGTCCTTTTAAAGGAATAATTTGTTTTCTTCATTTTCAACCTATCCTAGAAATAACTACTCTTAACTTATTTTTTTTTAGCTTAGTCCTTTAGAGGAGGGAAATCATTTCAAAACTTCCCTACTAATTATAGCCTGGTTGGTTAAGAGACAATAGAAAGGAGAAGGACCACTGATGTGGGTGGTAGAAAGATGCCAAAGACAATCTGGCCTATTTCACAATTTTGTGTAGGGCTAGTCTCTCTCTTCATGAGTCCTTTTATCCTTAACTTCATGGTTATACCCTATTGTAAGATGACTCATAGAGTTAGAATTATGCAGGTTATGGTTAAAATCAAAGATACAAGCAAGCATTGCTCAGTAGAAGGAACGCTGGCTGTGCAGTCAGAGAATCTAAGGTCAAATCCCAGAGTCTGGTATTTACTGCCCATGTGGTGGTCTTTGGGCAAGTCATTCAACTAAAACCCACCAGACAATGTGTTCTCTTTCCTCACTGTTCACACATCAGTACTGCCATATTGTAACATTGTTGTGGGGCTAGAGAACCATAAATTAAAAGCCTCTGAAGAAAACCATAAGAACTTGTACTCAGAAGTACATATTATCTGAAATAATGCCAATCAAAAATGAATTTATTTTTCTAAGAAATAAGTTAAATCTGCCTACAAGCTTTTTTTTTAAATCAGTTCTAGGATTTTGCCTTTAAGGCTCAATGGCAATAAAAGGCTCATAGCTTAGCAATGCAAAGTCTGGCATGGCTTCACGTGAAAGCAGGGAAGCTAAGTGGCTTCTGACTTTTAGAGGTTTCTATTATTACCCAAATAGGAAAAAGAAAACCCTATTATGAGAGCTGGGTTACAACATTTGCTTCTTTTCAAAATTGTTTTTTTGGAAAAGCATGAATCCTCCCCTCCCTTTCCCCCTATCCCCTAGTTCCCCACCTCTCAGGCCTAACACTGCCTAAAAACTAACCAGGTCATGACTCTTCCTTCCTGCCTAGCCATTTTCTAGAAGAGTTGACTTTGGTTTTTAGCCTAACAATGCTGGACATCTTGAGGAATCCTGAAGTGATGAAGTTTTCTTCCCAAAAGGAGAAAAAAAAAGTATTTTGCTGTGGAGCATTTCTTTTTAGTAATCTCAGTCTGAGCCATTAACTGCAATCAAAGAGGCTGGAAAAACAAAAGGCCATATTATTTGCTAGGTTTCAAAGGGGATTTTTTTTTTTGGTGTGTGTCTTAATTGGGTTGGATACCCAGAGAATGTCCTATTGAAGTCTGAAAGCTGGGAGTTTCCAGAGTACATGCCAAACTTGATTTGTGTATCTGTTTTTAATAGGTACCAGCCAAAAGACTTAATTTATTTATTTGTTTGTTTGTTTATGTAAAGAATGAAAGATTTCAGCAACAGGGCTTCAGTCCAGGGGAATTCAGAGTACAGTAGAGGTATTTTAACAGTTACTAGTCCCAACAAGGTTGTTCGTCCCACAAGTTTTCTCCATGTGGCCTATGCAAAAGGAAAGACAGACTTTTAAGGAATGAGTGATTTCTTCAAGAAGATGAATCACTTTTCTATCACTGAAAGCCTATTAGATTGCTATCACTAAAAGGCAAAGGGGGTAGGAAGGATTGGAACTATGAGAGACAATGGCTCATTCAGCTTTGTGCTATCCTAAGTTAAATAACTATTCTAATTATTAATGAATTGGTGGGCCAGGTTGATGGTCTGCTAGAGCGACAGCTTAAACATATTTCAGTTGTTCTCAGCCTGGGTTATTCAGTCAAATCACTATTTGCTACCTACATGGGGTTCTTAAAGGTTAGTTGAAGAAAGAGTTTTGGGAGAAGAATGGCTAGATGCAATGTTTCATTTGACCAGCCTGCTGAGTGCTGAGTCACATCTGACCTCTCTGTTGCTTCTCCTAACGTATCATTCCATCTCCCATAGGCTGTCTCCCATGCTTTGAATATCCCTCTCCTCATCTCTTCTCTTAGAATCCCAAGCTTCTTTCAAGGCTCAGCTCAAGTAAACATCTCCTATGTGATGCCATTTCTGATCCCTATTGATACTTCTACTTCACCTTTAAAATTATACAAATTTTTTTATTTCCTTATATATGTGCATTTTGTCTCCATGAATTGGGTACAAAGTTGGCCAAATGAAACTGGCTCAAAAGTCTTAGTGTGGTTCGAAGCTTTAAAAGTTTATAACTTCACTAAGACCTTGGAGACATCCTGTACAAACTTCTTAAGGGCAGGGCCTATATCCCCAGAGCCTAGATCAGTGCCTAGTATGGAGTGGGTACATAAAAATGCTTGTTGATTAGTTAATTGACTGAATAGACAAGTCAATAGTTTGTGGAAGGGGCAGGTAATAAGCTGCCTGACTTGATCAGTTTTCACTTAAACTTTAAGGAGATGCATTTTTTTCCTCCTCTGTAAAATAAAGACATGACCCTAGCCAACTCCTGCTTTGTATTTGATCAGTTCTTAGGCTAGTGACTACACACACACACACACACACACACACGCATACATACACACATACATGCATATATATATATAGTCAAAATCAATATATATGTGCGTATATGTATGTGATGTATGTATGAGCGTGTGTGTGTGTGTGTGTGTGTGTGTGTGTGTGTGTGTGTGTAGCTTGCCTTCTCATTTTTTTTTTCAGGTCCCTGCAAGCTGCTTGGCTACAGTAAAAACAAAACTTCAAAGAAGCTATAGAAATACAAGACAGCTGAAGAAGCTTCAAAGGCCTCCGGTGGGGACAATTAGCACTTACAAATGTTTCCCAAGAAGTCTCTAATGGCTACTTGACTAATGTATATTTAGTTACTAATTTAGAGTATTTCATTCCTAATGAAAAGTTAAAGTACACTAGAGGGCTATTATGTGTTTGTGTCTACTAGCAAGTGTGTGTTTAGAGGGACAACAACCCATCCATGTTACACCTGGGCTGGACAGACTCTCAGAAGTGGCCTGCCAAGTCCTTGTAATACTTAGAAGGTGTCCATGCATAATTAAACTTTTACCGCATGTAGATAAGAGGATTTCTTCAGATCTAGAATACTTCGATTTCAGCAAGGCATTTTAAAATGCTTCTAGTTGATTTTAGGTCTTCCACTAAACTCATGGACAAGATGGAGAGATATAGGTTAAGTGGAAGTTTGGTGATGTGGGTTCAGACTTGACCAAATGACTGAACTGAGTAGCCAATAGCTGGTTGCGCTCAACCTGGAGGAAAGTATTCCATGGAGTGCCCCAGGGATCTAACCTTATTCTTATGTTACTCAGCATCCATAGTAAGGACTTGAATGAGAACACAGATGGCATATTTGGTGGAAATAATATTCAAAGGCCCCTCCATGCAAGTTGACCTCATTTTTCCTTAAGAGGCACTCAAACTGTCATTGAGATTTAACTGGCTCAGTGGGCTAAGGGGTCAGGGCATTGACATTGATGTAGCTTTCTTAGTGCAGAAAGAGCCAGGACATGAGGGGCTCCTGATCTCCCTCGGGCTTCTGACCACAGATCGGCAGGATTGTTCATGTAGGAAAGCTGCACTCAGCTAAATCTATACCATCTCCTAATGAAATGTCCCTTCCCTGCTCTGAATGTCTTTCTCATGTAGCGGCTAAGTAAATCTCATTTTCTAAATGCTAAATGTTTTGGCAATTCTTTCGGTTGCAATATTGAACCTAAAGTACCGGAGAACTAGACTGAGTCAGGCCTAGTCTATGACAGCAGACTCATATGACACTTGTAGGCAAAACAAAACAGAGTGATAGATGGCTCTTTATACTCAAGAATCACGACCCAAAAAGATTTGAAAATTTAGAATGATGGGCTGAATCTGAGAAGATGGAATTGAATATGAATCAATGTAAAAGTCAGGATTTTCAACTGGAAGGGACCTTGGAGATCATGTCATCCTGCTTTCTCATTTTACAGATGAAGAAGTAAAGTAACTTGCCCAAAATTACTAAATGAATGAAATGGCAGAGCCTGAGATTTGAATGAAAGTTTTCTGACTTCAAATCCAGCGGTCTTTTCTACTTTGCCATACTATATTATTCTTAACAGAATTAAGAATTTAATTGAAATGCTTTATCCTGAAATAGCTTTCAGAATCCAGGATCTAGGGGCAGCTAGGTGGCACTGGCCCTGGAGTCAGGAGGACCTAAGTTCAAATCTAACCTCAGACACATACTACTTCCTAGCTGTATGACTCTGGGCAAGTCACATAACCCCAACTGCCTCATTGCAAAAATAAATAAATAAATAAATGTTTGTCAGAATCCAGGATCTAATCTATTCTTGGTTTCACATAATCAACTTAGCAAGTGATAGCATAGGAAGGGGAAAGCAGACGTGGGGCACATGTAAAGGCAGCTAGGGGTTGCAGTAGATAGAGTGCTGGGACTAGAATTGGGAAGACATCTTCATGAACTCAAATCTGGCCTCACCTACTGACTAGCTGTGTGATCCTGGGCAAATGACTTAGCCATGTTTGCCTCTGATTCTTCATCTGTAAAATGAGCTGGAGAAGTAAATGGCAAACCACTCTAGTATCTTTGTCAAGAAAATCCAAAATGGGGTCATGAACAGTCAAACATGACTGAAAAATGACTGAACAACAACTAGCAGATGTGTGCTGGTAAATGTTTAACGATGGACTCTCTGGAAATAAAAATGCAGGTAGGACACA